TTCCATTGCACATGCACTTAGTCCACGTCAGCACTTACCTATCATTAGGGATCAGTAGCACAATTTATAACAGCTAAAGCTTGGGAACAGCCCATATATCCAGAAACAGAGGAATGGGTAAAGAAAACATGGTATTTACACAGTGCACTATTACTGTATCATAAAGATTAAACTTGAGTCATTTTTAAGAAAATGGATGCACCATGAGACCATAAGGTGAAGTGAAATAAATCAGACACAGAGGCTGGGGCTGGGGATTTAGCTCAGTGGCACAGCACCTGCCTGGCAAATGCAAGGTCGTGAGTTCGATTCCCGGTACCAGAGAAACAAAAACAAAACAAAACAGACACACAGGCTTCATTATTGTATAGCTTCTCTTATATAAGAAATCCAAATTATCAGAACTCCCCCAAAATTTAAAGACCCAATCCAAAAATGGGCATCTGAGATGAACACACATTTCCCATATGAAGAAGAACAAATCACAAATAAATATATTAAAAACTGTTCACCATCACTGGCCATTTAAGACATGTACATTAAAATAATGCTGAGATTCCATCTCACTCCAGAAAGATAGCTATTATCAATAAATCAATCAATAACAAATGATGGAGGGGCTATGGGGAAAAAGAAACCCTTCTCCACTGTTGGTGGGAGTGTAGACTGGTGCAACCACTGTGGAAATTAGTGTGGAGATTAATGAATGTGATCATTATGTATATCTAAATTGTATCAATAAAGTTAGCTAATTTAAATACATGAACGTTTAAAATAAAGAGTATGAAAGTGAAAAAACTAATTTCTGTTGTTGTATTTAGGTCAAAGACTTCAGTTTGCATTATACAGGTCTTCACCTCCTTGGTTAGGTTGATTCCCAGGGATTTAATTTTTTTTCAAAGCTACCATAAATGAAATTGCTTTTCAAATTTTTGGAAGGTTCACTATTGGTATACAGGAATTGATTTTTTATTGATTTTGTTTCCTGCCACATTGCTGCATTGTTTGTCATCTCTAAGGTCTTCTGATGGAGTTTTTTGGGTCATTTATGTGAAGGATGGTATCATCTGCAAATGAAGATAGTTTGAATTCCTTCAGCCCCATTTATATTACTTTTATATCCCATAACTACAGACTCAGAACAACTGGAATGTTCAAAAATGTCTCCAAGGAAGAATTTATGTAAGTACACTGTTGGCTTACTGGGTGAATTTGAAACATTATTCATATCATCAAACTTCAGAAGTCAGGAAACTGAATTCAGGAGTATTCTGAGCGTTGGTGAATGAAGGCGACTGTGGACCTGACAGATGAAAATTCAGGCTAAAGCCTGATGATATTGATCTCAGAAATATATGGAGGGAGGATTAAGGTGAGTGAGTAGAAAGAGAACCTTTGAGGGATATTGTTATGAAGGGAAGACACAACGAGATTGTAGCTGGAACAAGTTGAGAGTTACGGAGAGAATTTATTAAGTTTATTGATACAATTTAGATATACATAATGATCACATTCATCACACAGAACTTACAGCTGTACATGATATGTTTTTGTTCATCATTTTTCCCACCCCCTCTTCTCTCTTCAACCCTTCTTACCCTCCTTATTTACAAAGCTTTGTTTCCATTTTGTACTTCTTTTTCCTTAGTTTTTCTTCTCCCTTCCATCTCATCCCAATTCCCCTTTCTCTTTGAACAATTCTTTCCTTTTTCTCTTTTTTTATTTTAAAAATAAAAGAATGAAAACATAGTAACAAACAGGCATCCACTTACAAAATAGCACAAGAACAATACAAGCAATACTGAATTACAGACAAGGAGACAGGAAATTAACAATGGTTGCTGTATTACATATTGATAACTTCAAAGTGGTTACTCAGGAAAACAAATATAAACATGCAAGTTTGAATAATTCTTTCTGATTTCACAATATCTATTATACATTTGGGTTCTTATTTACACTTTCAGTTTCCCACACCAGAAAGACAATGCAATGTTTGCATTGCATTGTGTGTCTGATTTATTACACTTGAGTGTATAGTCTCAATGTCCATCCTTTTAGCTACAAATATCTCCGTTTGTCCTTTTTATAGCTGAATAATACTCCATTGTATAAAAATAAAAAGATACATCTTTTTTATCCATCCATCAGTTGATGGGCATTTGTTTGTTTACAAGATTTAGTTACTACAAATTGCACAGCTATAAATATGAGTGCACATATAACACTGTGATATGATGCTTTTAAATCTTTTGGAAAGATATGGAGAAGGGGAATAGCTGCTTCAAATGGAGACTCTAGTTTTAGCTTTTTGAGGAATCTCTACATAGATTTTCACAATGGCTGTTCCAGTCTACACTCCCACCAACAGTGGAGAACTGTTCCTTTTTCCCCACAGCCCCACCAGCATTTATTATTGGCTGATTTATTGATAATAGCCATTTTTTCTGGAGTGAGATTGAATCTCAGTATTGTTTTAATTTGCATATCTCAGATAATCAGTGATGTTGAAAATTTTTTCATATACTTATTTGCCATTTGTACTTCTTCTGAGAAGTATCTATTCATTTTAGATGCCCATACCTGATTTGATCTTTAAAATTGGGTCTAACTTTTTTCAATTCTTTATATGTTGCATGCACATAGTGACAAAGAGTCTCAAGGTCTTATTTTAACAAAGAATGACCTTGAAGCAAATAAAGATAAGGCCTATTAAAGGAAAGAGAAATATAAAGTAGCCAAACAATATTTTACATTCACTAAATTGTAAGGGTAACTAAAAATATTACCCTGTCTGGTGATGTGGAAATTCCAAATCACCTAGTGGGAGGGTCAGTTAATTCAACTATTTAGGAAAGGCTTGTTTTGGAATTACACACAAAAAAGAAAATGTATATGCATAAAGCTAATAATCTCACCCAAGAATGAAGCTGTCTTTCATTTCCATGTGGAGACATGACAGAGAACCTTAAATCTCTTAATAAACAATGTCAGAAAAAAATCTACCTAAACTTCATCAATATTAGAGGGACTACTTATTTTTTGTTACCATATATGATGTAAAAGTGGAGAACACTGTAAATTAATGTCTCACTGCTAAACTAAGTGACATGATGCAATAGCAGAAGCTCAAGGAGGAAAATAACAAAAATATAAAAATCATTCATCACCTTAGATTTATTCAGGCCACAAAAAGCAAACTGATGTAGTAAATTATTCAGGCACTTATAAAGGGTGACCATGATGCCCTATAGTCCTAAGAAATTAGTTTTGGGGATAAGTGTGTAAATATAAGTCATCAAAAACTGGTGGCATTAATTTGATATCTATCTCTACTTCTGCGTACCTTATAAGAATCTATAACACTATACTTGAAGCCAAGAAACTGGCATGTGTACCTTCTCTGCAAAGACCTCTGTCATACATAAGCGCCATTCTCCCTTTATATTATAAGTCCATAGTCACCACTGAGGGGAATCAGGATGTGGAAGAATTATTGTGACAGCCATCGTTTAACTCAAGTCAGGAGTGTATTTGGGTGACTCCATAGACAGGTCTATAATCAATGGACTGAGAGAAGAACATTGAGTTTCTGTTTCTGGCACTCTGTCAACATATGAAACCCAAGTATCATCCCAGAAGAGGCACCTCTGAATAAAGTCCTAATTTCTGAACCTATACATTCCCAACTTCTAAAGTCCTTATAATGAACAATACTCTTCCTTATTGTCTAAACATATTAGAACTGGGTTTTTTTCACCTATATAAAAAGACATGTTACAGTAGGAGGACATGCAGAAAAATGTTCCGTGTCATTAACCATTAATATATGCAAAGTAAAAGCTTGAGATCTCACTAGTAGAATGACTAAAAAACAGTGACATCAAATGCCATCCAAGAAACTGGATCCCTCATGCATTGTTCATGGAATTATAAAATAGTACAGCCATGCTCAGCCACAGTTGGGAAGTTTATTTTATTTTATTATTTTAAGCTTACTGGTACAATTTAGATATACACAATGATCATGTTTATTACAGGGAGTTTGTACCTGTATATGACATATCTTCATTCCTCTTTTTTTCCTAATCTCCTCCCTTCCCTTCAAGCCCTCTTTCCCTCTTTATTTACAAAGCTTTGTTTCCATTTCTATCCTTCTTTTATTGTTTTTTCCTCTTCCTTTCCTTCCTTTCTCCCACTCCCTCCCTAGTTCCCCTTTCTTTTGAACTATTTCCTCCTATTTTACTATACACTTTGGTCCTTATTTACACTTTTGGTTTCTCCCACCAGAGAAACAATGTGATATTCACACATGTGTGATCGATTTACTTCACTTAAGAATATGATCTCAAGGTGAATCCATTTACCTAGAAATGTCTCAAGTTTACCTTTATTAGAGTTTTTTCTTATGAGAGATGAAGGCATTTTCACCGATGAAGTCCAAAATCTCAAATATCACAAGACTATCTGAAACCTCTGAGGTATTATAATTGTGATATTTTTATAAATAATGAAACTGGGTAGGGTGGATGTTAGTATGACCACCATAGGATATTCTTCTCCTGGGACAACTCTCAATAATTTCTTAATGGAGTACGAAATTACTACTCCTGCCTCACAATAGGTGTACACAGTGGTACAACCCATGTAGCCCTAACTGTAGGGTACGCAGAAGCTGATCCCCAGACATTAACACAGCCTTGCTTAAACCTTTCTCAGCCTGTCCACCTGTTCCAATATTCCCTCTGAGACCCATCCGCACAGAATGCTAAAACTGAATGCCTAATTGAGGTGCTACTTCCATGAAGTCCAAGCACCAAGATGGAGTTTAGAGATTGAAGTCATTTGTCAGACAGCACGCCCCTGAAAAAACAGCAAAATCAGGTTTCAAGTCCCAGTTGAAGTGTATGCAAATATCACAGAGTCAAGCACTTAGGCTCCTCAGTATAATTGTAATTTGAATTTGTTCTAGAAACCAAAGCTCCAAGTCAATGACACAGTCACACAAAAGGTATTCCAACAATGAGATCTGTCAAGGCTGCCTTCATTTCTTTGTTCTTCAAACTGTAGATAAAGGGGTTCATCATTGGAGGGATCACAATGTACATCACTGAAGCCAGTACACTCTTAATGGAGGAGTCAGTAACAGCAGAACTCATATAGACTCCAAACCCTGTCCCATAGAACAAGGACACCACTGAGAGGTGAGACCCACAGGTGGAAAAAGCTTTATACCTTCCTCCCACTGTTGTGATCCTCAAGACAGAGGAGACAATTTGGATATAAGATAAAATAATCCCAAAAAGAGGTACACCAAAAAATATGATACCCACTAAATACACCAGCAGGTTATTGATGAAGGTATCAGAGCAGGCGAGCTTGATGACCTGAGCAAGTTCACAGAAGAAGTGAGGGATTTCCAGGTCTGTGCAGAAAGACAGCTGCAGCACCATCAGACTGTGGAGCAGGGCATGTAGAGTGCTAATAAACAGGGAAAGTAGAATCAGCAGGGCACAGAGGTGGGGATTCATGATGACCATGTACCTCAGAGGATGACAAATGGCCACATAGCGGTCATAGGCCATCACTGCAAGGAGACAATTTTCCAAGCCATTAAAAACCAAAGCAAAGGAGGCCTGAGAGAGGCAGCCTGTGTAAGTGATGCTCCGATCCTGTGCTTGGATGCTCACCAGCATTTTGGGAATAGTGGTAGTGCTTGTACATATGTCAGTGAAGGACAGACTGGAGAGGAAGAAGTACATGGGGGTGTGCAGGTGGGAGTCAGAGCTGATCGCCAGGATGATGAGCAGGTTCCCAAGCACTGTGACCAGGTACGTGGACAGGAACAGGCTGAAGATGAGGGGCTGCAGTTCTGGGTCATTTGTCAGTCCCAAAAGACGGAATTCTAAAATAGCTGTTTGGTTAGCGGGTTTCATGTTACTGGTTAATCTCGTGGAAAAAATGGTGTGAAAATAAAATAAAATGTCTTGTTTCTAGACAAGGAGCAGTATGACATGGTGACTTGTTAGAAAGGAAAATTCTTGGTATTGTTGTAGTCTTACTGATGACAGCATATGGGAATGAAAACCAATGCTTCCAATGGATTTTATATATCTAAAAATTGAAAAGCAATGTTTTTCCAAAGAAAAATGACCTTCTTGCATATATTATGGAACCAGAAGAATATTCAGATATTTTTGTCACTGATTCCATCCATTCCTCTTCTCTCTCCTCCTCCTCCTCCTTTAACGTCCACACCCTCTACTGAACACCAACACTTTTTCACACATTGTGGTAAGTGCCGAGACTGTAAGAAATAAGACATATAATTTCCACAAGAGTCCATGCTTTCAATAAAAATAGGGGTGAGAATGAATTTGTCAGATGCGTCTTCTAAAGCCATGGTCTGTAATGTTAGCATGCCTCAGATCATCTGAAGGGCTTGTCAAATACAGTCAAGCTAGTTGACACTATCAGCCCAATGGACGTGAAAGCCAGGAGAACATACAATGGAATAAAGTACTCCATTCGCGTTTGTCAAAGACTGAGTCAGAACTCAGACTGTCTGGCTGCTGGATGGATTCCTATGACCAATATCTGCTAATGTTTGTGGACAGCACAAAACCAGCATTGTTAAATGATCACAGAGGTCTTCACATTTTCCAATATAGTTTTAATCATGAACAAATATTTTTTTGTTTCCCTTGCTCACTTTCACTACTTCTACAATCATGAGTTGGGGGAGATCCACCCAGGTGGATTTGAACAATAATTTTAAAATGTTTCTTTTAACTTCAAGCCCATAAGACTCTCCCTGAACATGCAAGAAATCTGCTTTAGTAATAAATTCTAGAAGTGAGTCACCATCTTAATAACACTTTCTGTCCCATCCTAAAGGAACTTCTTTCCCTAGTGAGAGAGGTAGCATATCATTACACAAAATAGATAAATACTAGCCACATGAGGGAAAGAATGGAATATAGAGCCTCCTATGGAGACAGATTAAAAGAAAAACCGATTTGTTATCCTTTAGATGACAGAGATGTACAAGATGACACAGATTTAGATAATCAGGTTTCCTAACAGGAGGGTTCCCGCAGAGCATCATTCTTTCTCTCCTGGGGAAGACAGGAGCAGTATGATGCTGATCATCATTTGAGGTCATATTAGAGACACACACTCTAAGTTTAATCCAAGATCTAGCATTTGCTCTTTAAATGAGGAAAAGTCTAAAACTAGTTCAGAAGCCATGGTGTCTTCATTTACTTAAGGAAACTACCCGATGAATGTGTTCTTTAGATGTAGTTTGATATTCATGTCTCAGTTTATAATTCTGCATCACATTGTGTGTCTTAAATACACATAGTTTTTACTTGTGTAATTATGCCTCAGTAAATTTGGGAGGAAACTGTGTGTGGATGTTTTAATTGGTGAGAAATGGATACAACAAAGCAGTCAGCACCGTGCTGGGCAGTAGGAGTCCTGGTACTGACCTTTCCCATTGTGTACATGACAGTAGAAACTGGTGCTGTTCATGCATTAGAAGGAATAGATGCCTGGAACCGGTGAGGAAATAAAGACAGAACATCTCCAGTTTAGTAAATGCACACTTCAGGGAAGAGTTTATGTGCTGGACCTACTGCTGATAACATTGGTTTGTAGAAAACTATAAAAAGAGGCATCAATGGTACCAGTATTCATTTGGCATGACTATGTAATATGTAACAATGAAAATGAATTAAATGGTAAATGCATTGCACATAGGAATCACAAAGCTATGGCTACCTAAACTAGGAAAAAGGTATATGTAGATAGTATTCCTTGAGAAAACTGGAACTCTTTTAACCTACCCAGATAATGTGTTTTATTAAAGATTATTGAGGTATGATGGAAAGTAAAGCCATGGGGGTCAGGGTTCATCAGTCACCAGTTAAAAACTAATATTCTTCATGAATGGGAAGGGGATTTGAAAAAGAAACAAGCTGCATTATGTCCATGTACCCACTCCATACCCACTCGCTTCACTGATGATTGCAAACTGCATGCACTGCGAACATGTACTAATAAAAATAACATAAAATACATTGTATCATAGGATAAAAACTCACATACTTCACCATTTTTCCTTTAGATATCTTCAGTGCAAAAATATTAGAGACATACTTCAAACCTCCATTTTATATTCTTGATAAAATTGATTTTTTATTTCCCCAGGGAAGCTACCACCCTCACATGACATACATTATTCTGTTCACTTTTCATCAAATTAATATTATTTTTTCAAATAATAAAAACTGCATAATGTTGTATTTGGTAAGATTTATATAAATATAATCTTACAGCATACGCCATTTGTAAGTGATGCTCTTTGGTAATTTTAAAAATTAGTTTTATCATATTTAGCCCTTCATAAATTTTTACTATTAGAGCATCCCACTGTCTTGTCACAATACAATTTACTGCCCCTAAATGATAAGTATGACTTTTAACATATAGGTAGATGATGGTAGATAGATACAGAATAATGATAGGCATAGATAGATGATAGATGATAGATAGATGACAATGATATAGATGATAGATGATTAATAGATATAGACAGATAGATGATAGATGATAGATAGATAGATGACAATGATATAGATGATGATTGATATAGACAGATAGATGATAGATAGATGATTGATAGATAGATAGATAGATAGATAGATAGATAGATAGATAGACAGACCCAATAGAAAGGTAGGTAGATAGATATGATTACGTGTACACTATGGAGATGTACATGGGGAATCCCACTACATTCATGGTGTCATATTGTGGAGAAAGGAAAAAGGAATGCAGGAGCATATAGTTTATAAATTGTGTATACTTATTACTTTATCTTAAAAGATCTAAAACAATAGTATAAAGTCCCAACTTTTAATTCTAAAATGAGTTGAAGATATTGTTATTATTATTAGATGTTATTAACTATAGTGTCTCTGTTGTTCTTTTGTTTTGTTTTGTTTTTTGTTTGTTTGTTTTTTTTGGTTTTTCTCCGGTACCAGGAACCGAACTCAAGACCTTGCGCTTGCCAGGTAGGTGCTTTGCCGCTGAGGTAAATCCCCAGCCCCCCTGTGTTGTTCTTATATGAACTGTTTGGGAGTTTTAGAAAGCAAGATAGGCGAAGGCAGTACCTCTGTGTCTCTACCTTTTTACTCAGATTCCTCAGATTCCTCACATCACTCACCAGCATAGAACAAAGGCTTTCTGTACAATGGTGAATCAAAACTACTAGGATAAATCAAGGAGCTTATTGCTATGAGCTGATTTCTGTACCCCCTAAAAATCATCTTTATCTGTAATTGCCTATGGTAGTTAGAGAATACATTAAAAAACTATTTAAGTTAGAATATGTTCAGTAAGGTGAAGCATAGTCTGATAGGACTGGTATCTCTATAAGAAGACATTAGGACAAACACATAAACACACACACATACACACGCACATGCACACACACATGAACACTTTGAAGACACATGGAGAAGATGGCCAGCTACAAGCCAAAGAGAGAAACCAACCTTGCTGGCATGTCTATCTTTAAACTTCTAGATTCTGCAACTGGGAGGGAAAAAATTCTGTTGTTAAGTCACCCAATCTGTGGTCTTTTGTTTCAGCAGCCCTAGCAACTAATTGCCAAGTGAAAGTGCTTCCTCGGAACAATCCCCAAATCTTCTGATAAACTTCAGGGTATTCTAGGAGTCACTGTGTCCAAGGGGCACCCATCCTTATGGAAAGTAGGAGACGAGTAGGAAGAGAACTGCATCAATATTGGAGCAAAGGAAGGCTTCCCGTGAATGAAATTTAAGCAGAATACCTGTCCTTATATCTGAATTATCCTGTAGGTGACTGGCTTCACTGAGAATAATGGTCAGCACCTCCGGGATGTTGAAGGCAAGAGATGAATTCTCAGCACTGGTAGACAAATCCCTGAGGCAGGAGGCTATTTGTCAGGAAGGATCATCTTGAAAGAAGGCTCAGGTATTGCTTCCTGTGAGACCAGGCTATGGAGTGACTCGGTCACAGGCTGAATCCTACAGTCTTTTCATCCCTGAGGTGCTCAATATCCAAAGCTCCTCATTAGAGTAGCTATTTCCTCTACATTATTGTCCCAGGAGTGTGTGTCCTTGAAGAGTATAGAAGAGAATAATTCAGGATTGCTGATCTGATCTCTGATGTCCTGTGCACCTCCTCCAGTTCTCTCCATGGTTCATGCTCCCCTCCACTCCCCGGACCTTTCACACATAACATATGTCACTCGTCTGAGACATTTCAATCTTTCATTTTTGTTATAAACAAAATCACTCACAATATTAGAAGGTTTGATTCAACGTTAGGTGTGAAAATAGAGGGGTATGGGGGAGTAACTATGAGCCTCAGGTGCTCAGGAGCTTCAGTGACTGGCTCAGGAGGGGAGAAACTTTACCACCCAGCTCCCACCATCACAGGAGTGATCATGAGCCCCAGTGAGCGTCAGGAATTTGTGAGTTGCTGGGGAGGGTAGAAACTCTAACCCCAAATCCCCACCATCACAGGAAAAACAGTGAGCCTTGGGAACATTGGTGAGCCATGTGGAAGGAGAGAAACCCCACCCACCACCCTTCTGACATCCAGGAAGCCTCAGTCTGGAGGAATCCTCGTGAATGGTCCATATCCTACACTGCAGGTTGGGAAGCCAGCATGGGAAACACTCCGAGCATGGCAACAGTCTTGTCCAGAGGAACCCAGGGTAAATCACCGCTAACAAAGGGGAACATTTGGCATGCAGACTCCTAATTTACAATTGGTTCTGTTCTACAACTATAGACTTCACTTCTATGGTCTAAAGTACAAAATTAAGAGTTACCAGAATTGGAAAGTTTCTAAATTGTGCTTATTATTATCTGTACTACTGTAACCAGTGTGCCATATCTGT